AAAAATTATATGTTTGATTTTCGTCATGCGTGTATGACAAGGATTCAGAGGTTATCGTGCTGTGAGGGGAAAATGATGTGAATTATGGCAGCTCTTACAGTGTACAATGGTAGCATCAGCTGCGTTATCTCCTTCACTTATGAAAAGATAAAGTGTAGAATCATTTCATGACGATCAGCTGCTAGCGTGGCAGGAAACGTCGACACTCTTTGACGTTTCCTTCTTTGTCTCAGTGAACGATTAGGCTGCGTACGCTGTCTTTGTGAACACACTGCATCCACAGAGCCATTTCATTATGCACAGTGTGCATTAATTGCATTTAGTGTACATGTAGCTGTGTTCTGTATTGGACTTTTGCTGGTGCACTGCCACAACCAGTAATCAGTGGAATAGAAATGAGCAGCAGGATGTAAATTTCACTGCCATCATCACATTGGTGGTGTAAACACTGCTCCATACAGACACTGCTCATCAAAATCCGACTTTCTCGCACAGCGTGCAGCACATGTGACTTTGGTTTACATTTCGTGCTCGACTTGCTGCCGCGGGAAGCGCGAGTGTGTAGCGTGCACTCGCACACTCTCTGTCGATTTTATTGGGGAATCCTCTGAAGCTTCCCGTGCAGCTCTATAGACGGTTTCCCAGACATCTGCATCACGTTTCCTCTCTGTGTGGCAGGCAAAGGAAGTGGAATGGAAAAACTGCTCCCCCGCCCAGTGCGGCCACATGGCGAGGGAGGAGAGCAGTCGGTCAGGAGCCCGCCGGCCACAGTCGGGCATATTTGTGGTCAGCTTTCTCCTCTGCAGCAGTCTGAGCCGCTCTGCATCTTGGCCTACCTCTGCGCTCTGCTGCTGTCTCCCAGGCTGTTTCTTCTGAGTCTCTCTGTCTCACACGCTCAAATCCAACATTTGGTTACAAGAGGAGCCAGAAAACAGACATTTTGTCCTCACTCGTCGCTGTTCTCCTTCCCAGACTATTTATACTGATGGGGGGGGTGACACATGAAAAGGAATCACCCTCTCTGCAGGAACGCAGTAGAAGGATGGGCCACATCAGCAGAGCGGTTCACACGCCGGCCACAGTCAACGACTTCCATCCACTGGCTCCTTCTCACTCAGGCTTACTCACAGTGAAACCAGGGGAAAGGGGAACACACACATTTATAATAAACAAAGGAAACATATGCTTTACCAACCAACCCAGTCCTGACTGATCTGATGTAGCCGCCATCTTTCTCTGCTCCTTATAACTCTGAGTTTCCCTCTCTGCTGTTAAATTGGACTCTCGGCCTAGTTTCTCTGACCATAAATAGAAGCAGGAGGGCTGCAGATCTACAACTCTCTGTAGGGTATGAAGTAAATTTGTGTATGGCTGTGCTGGGTGTGGTGTGTGTCGGTGTGGGTGTGTGCTTCACTTAAGGTGTATTTGTGAGTGTGTGGTGGTCCCAGCGGAGAGGTGCTGGCAGTCTGCGTCACTGCACAAGAGCTGGCTGGCTTTGCAAAAACAACATGCCGTATACTCATTTAAACACTCGTTATTGGCGCTGCGGGCTCGCCTCCGCTTTAAAAAACAAACTGATGCATTATCAATATGTTCTCTTGGATTCGTGATGATTTGTGATGCTTATTTTCCTCGACGTAGAAATTCTGGTCCTTCCTGTACGCTAACGATCTTCTGGTGTCCTTAAAAAGACTGGAAGAAAACTTCTTTTCACATCGGAGCGATCATTCACCATTCATGGCTTTGAATGCCCCATTTGTGGAACGTTAACGTTCTACCAATTTGAGTCATTTCTTCTCGAGCTGAAAAAAGTGTCCATAAAGGCAGACTTTATGAGTGTCAGCCGCACACTGTAGCCGACTCTGTGTCAGCTTTAACTGCGCCGTGCAGCCAAATACAGTTCAGCATCAAAAACAGACTCATAAATGTGGTTCTGGATTATCATGAAACAGGTCAGACTTTCTGCTTTCTGTTTGATACACTTTCTGTTTTCGTTTAAAGCTGAACAAAGCACACTTAAAGGAGTGTGCAGTATAGAAGGAAGGGAGTGTCTTGCCTGGTAGCCGTGAATGTGCATTGCTGCGTAAGTGCTGTTACCTTAAATGATGGACGCCTGGAATGCCCACATTCCTCGGATGTTTCTCCTTCAGTCTTCAGACGCCGATCAGCGCCTCTGTAGGGGTTCATCTGCAAGACACTGGCAACGGCAGCAGCGATGTCATAAGAAATACGTCGTTACATAAGGATGAAGATGCAACGAGGATCAGTTTTGCAAGAAAAAGAAAAAGTAGGTTGGACACTGGAAGCCAAGTTCCTTTGAGGTATCTTGACCTTTATCTCGTTGAGCCGCCGTACAGCATTGCCATGGCAACTAAACTGGGTGCTGCCAGCTCGGGCGAGGGTTGTAATTCCTCAGCATCAGCCCCATCCCCGAGTGCCTCGGTGTTTTAGTCTGCACAAGCAGAGCTCGCACAGCAAAGACTCACGGTTGAGTAAGAAATACTAAGACCGATAAAGATGAAATGTTTCGGGAGTGCAGAAAAGGACAGAGTTTGATTGGCTCCGTGGAAGAGAGGAGATACCCGCTGCACAAACACAGTTTAGCAGCTCATTACACAGCTCATTGCACTTGCATCTCACACTCTTGCTTTAATCTGACTTCCACCTTGTATCTGAATGCAGGATGCTGAGTGTATCAAATGAACTTCTCAGGCTTTTCATACGTTTTGAATGCGGAGCTCGACTTTATGACACATTCTCAGCTCTGTTAATCTGAAATAGCTTTTAGCTAACTCTACCTTCATTAATTGTGTGGCAATTGTGTGGTAAGTGTAGACGGGTGTGGCTCTGACTATCGCAGTCTCTGTCCAGGAGGGACGCTCCACCATCTGCTGTAGGAATCCCCCTCTCAGCAGGCTTTGTGTATATGTGTGTGTGTGTGTGTGTGTGTGTGTGTGTGTGTGTGTGTGTGTGTGTGTGTGTGTGTGTGTGTGTGTGTGTGTGTGTGTGTGTGTGTGTGTGTGTGCACATCTTTGGGGCTAATTACAGTGCAGCTGCAGTTGTACAGTACACTGTTGAACAATTTTGTCGCTGTTTGACAGGCTTGGCAGGAGGCAGATTTGACCCATCTGCTGAGGGCATGTAAGACAACACAGTGTTTTTGTTTCTGCTTTTATTTTAGTTTGAATTTGGGGAATAATGAGAATTTGTCTCAACTGTTGGTTTCACTGAAACCAGGTGATAAGCAGCATATCAGCAGCTTGAAGTCAGGTGATTATGAAAGAGAAAGAATTTAAAAAGCTGTGTGTGTGTGTGTGTGTGTGTGTGTGTGTGTGTTTGTCTGTGTGTGTCTGTGTGTGTGTGTGTGTGTGTGTGTGTCTGTGTGTGTGTGTGTGTGTGTGTGTGTGTGTGTGTGTGTCTGTGTGTGTCTGTGTGTGTGTGTGTGTGTGTGTGTGTGTTTCTGTGTGTGTGTCTGTGTGTGTTTCTGTGTGTGTGTGTGTGTGTGTGTGTGTCTGTGTGTGTTTCTGTGTGTGTCTGTGTGTGTGTGTGTGTGTGTGTGTGTGTCTGTGTGTGTGTGTGTGTGTGTGTGTGTGTGTGTGTGTGTGTGTGTGTGTGTGTGTGTGTGTGAGTGTGCTAACAGGAATGCTTCCTGCAGTGTGAGAGTGCACGCAGGTGGTTTGACTCAGCTGAGAGGAATCTGATGTTTGCTTGCAGTCACGGTCCACCTGCACCTGCCCCTGCGTCGCACCACCTTTGCAACCTGCGCTCTTTCTTTGTTGACAAACAGAGTCAGTGGCGGCGCAGAGGATAGCCACAGAATCAGCTACGTCCATGTGCTGTTTTTGCCTGCTTGGCTCGATCGTACTCATTATCCTCCAGAGTGAAGCGAGAGGCGGCTGGATATTATAAAGCGGCCGTTTCTGAGCGTTACAAAAGCCCGTACAGAGGTCAGGCTCTGTTAGGTGATACTGGGCTCACACGCGGGCAGCACACAGATCAGAGGGAGCCAGCTTCTTAAAATGTGAGTCATGCTGCTGTTGCATTTTCATGAGCCGTGTTGCAATCCCCAGGACCGGCCCGCCAGCCTCACAGAGTCAGCCAGCACCACCAAGCACATCACGTTTCGTCTGGACTGCAGAGATGTTCTTTTATTCTCGGTTAGAAATGACGACTTTAAAGCTGTTGTTCTCAGGACGAGCAGAATCATTTGTGCTTTCTTGTTTACCAGTGCTTAAAATTACACAGTAGACATAAAGGCATTTCTTTTAATCTAATTTATCACCATCTGACCTTCTTCATCTTGATCCTTTGATGTTTACGATGTGTTTAAAACTTTATGGGATTTCTTCTATGTCGGGCACAGAGCACCAACAAGTCAGACAACTGTGATGAGCAGGTATTCAGCTGTGCGCGTGCATTCCTTGTCCCGTGATTGGCCAAAAAGCAGATGCCTTTCACCTTATTAAGGCATCGGTGCGACGTACAGTATGCTGATGACTCTTGGGTTACAGTAATGGGATTGAAAGAACTTCAGAGAACTTGTGGTTTCTCACAGTGGAATCATGTTATTGCCGTACGCACAGCGACTCACGTTTGCATCGTGTGGCAAAACCAGAATCAGCTGCAGTCATTGTGTCGGAGCTGTGCGCTGTACGAGCCAGTGACAAGTTAACGCTGGAGAGTGTGTTTGTGTGTTTGCAAGCGATTGTGTTATTTAACACCAGATATTGCTCATATATAGCACCCTGTGGGACAGTGTTTGAGCCGAAGGTTAGCACTGTGTGGCAGCCAAACGAGCGTTATCAGTCTCATTCTGTTGCTCTTCGAGGAAGCGAGGTGAATGACGACCTCTAACTACGATCTAAGCATCGTGTCCAAGCCACAAAAGGCTTTTGTAAATCCAGAATGGACTTGTCTGTGAGTCGGAGCTCAGCGTTTCAGGACCTGTGATTAGGGCTCTTATTGTACCTCCAAACCACATTCATGTTTTTCTTTTGCAGGTGTTGTGCTCGACATTCAGCGGAATTACGACGTGTCAGACAGCAGAATCGGCTTGCTGCAAACAGGTAAGCATCCTTTAATCTCATAATTACACGCGTGAAAAGAGTTCTCTCTCTCTGCGGCGACTGTGATTACTGTGTAACTCTGATCTTATTTAAAACGAATGGTCCAACCAAAGGCAGAGGCTCTTACTCCAATCTGTCACTCGAGCTCAGCCTCTGACAGCGGCAGTGTCAGCCTCCCTTTTCTCTTCTCACACATGAGCAACAAACCGGATTATTGACAGCACATTTACAGCAGTAAAGCTGCGTATTATGGAGGTAATTTACATAATCAACCCACTAATGGTTTTGTTCCTCTGCGTCTCTGTGCATCATCTGTGTGGGCAAGACAATCCAAGGAAATAGAATATCAGAAGGGCACACCTCCTGGAGTTTGTGATGGTTCAAAGTTACTGAAGCTGTTTACATTTTTCCACAGCAACACTGTATGACAAGCTGTGGCAGCAGCAAAGCAGCAGGCCAATAAAAAAGGGAATACAGTCAGGAGCCAGGCAGGCTTCTCCCCTGAGAGCACCCACAGAGTGTGACTCCTGCTCAGGGCAGGGCTTCCTGCTCCACACAGAGACTCACTGAATTCACCTTTTACAGAGAGATACTTTGCAAAGCCCTCTTATTGGAGGACAGGACCCCGTCTTGTCTCTGTGTGCTCTCAGACCCATTCAGACACCAACAGACTAACAAAGTGCCTTTGAGCTCAAGCAGACAGGACTGAGTGTGAGGGGCGGTAGAAAACAGCCCAGTGTTTTTAGGGTCGCGGTACGTGAAGGACAAAAATATCTCGAAGGAAAAAGAAATCTGTGTGACTCTTTTAGAGCTTTTTTAAGCTCAGCACATCACTTTACGATCTCATTTCAACCCAAACTGAGCCTCGTTTTTATTTTCTGTCAGCAAGTTTCTCCACATTATGTATTTGATCGTTTGTGTCTCGATGCTTGTTCTTTGGGTATTTTTCTCTACATATTTATTACTGTCAGAATCAGGAAGCCTTAGAAACATACGAGGGGAAGAACGGGACATTTTTTCGATCAGCAGGATTTCGTCCCATTTGAAAAACTGCATGTTTGTATGAACGCTTAACAAGAAACAGGAAACTGTGAAGGGCTTTGACTCTTAACTCTGCTTGTATTGGCTCACTGTGTGGATTATGCACACAGCCACACTGGCACAAACTCACACACACTTAAATAAACAGAGTATGCAAGTCTTCTAGTTGCATGCACAACTGATTTGCCCGCTGCACCGTCTTCAGTCTTTGAGAGGAACCCAGTCGGGCGCATGGCGAGGCTTCTGCGTGTTTGCTTTGTACGGTCATGGTTCTGACTCCGCTCGGCCCTTGATCCCCAAGGAACCTGTTTCTGACACGGACCTGGGGAATGGCGGGTGTCTGCGTGCAGACAAGGAGCCTAGGTGTGAAGAAGAGGCTTGGAGGATACGACATAATCGGGATGCTAGAAGGGAGGATCTTTACCTCAGCAGATACACATCACTAGCTCCATCCGTCTGCAGTGGGGTTGCATTTTGACATCACAGGTTCATGACAGCCATCTTCCACACAACCTCATGGAGTCAGTGGTTTAAGGTCCCCGGTTACTTTTCAGACATGAAGGTGACTTTACTATACAAATAAAGTTATTCTGATTATCGTGTTCATGGAAAGGAGAGCACGTCTGAAAGGAGTGTCAGTGTGTCTGTGTGTGTTTTATGGTTTGTCCCTTCCAGCGTCCCCCACCACCAGCCTCCTTCTCCGAGGGAACAGTTCCCACCTCTGTGAGCACCTGCAGGCCTGCTCTGTCCGCTCTCCTTCCTGCAGGCTTCGGTGCACCTGGGAATGCAAACTGCCAGTGTAGGTGTTTTATAGGAAGTGGGTGTATGCTCAGGCTTTCTCTCGCTCTGTGCTGCCAGGTCACCCTCAAACATTACAAAACATAACAGCGACCACACACTGCAGGGTCCAAGGCACACAATAGCACTGAGTCAGAATCACTTTTTGAATTTGAGAAACGACTCTTTGTTTTGGCTCTTAATAAGAACTACTGGAAGGGAAAATTCCCCATATCCAGACGGTCTTTTGGCTTTAGGAAACACTAGGCTGAGCACTAGAGGAGGCTTTTAAACCTGCTGCTGTGTTTCATGGTGTTACAACAACTTAACTCTTACCCCGCCCTACCCTCTACTACACGGGTGTCCAACTGCAGGCCTCGAGGGCCGGTGTCCTGCAGGTTTTAGACGTGTCCTTGATCCAACACAGCTGATTTAAATGGCTAAACGACCTCCTCAACGTGTCTTGAAGTTCTCCAGAGGCCTGGTAATGAACCAATCATTTGATTCAGGTGTGTTGACCCAGGGTGAGATCTAAAACCTGCAGGACACCGGCCCTCGAGGCCTGCAGTTGGACACCCCTGCTCTACTAGGACTAACCCACGAAGCCCTTTTGTGAACCGAGTGCTTTCGGTCCAGTTATTTTGTTCTGCTTATAGAACAAAATAACTGGTTGTGGATCAGAGGTTAAATGAGGAGGATCTCCACTGGAAGAGCCTGGAAGCCATTGTAACGGTCGTCTACCTGCATCTTTATTGACATGTGCTGAGCTGTCAAAGCTCACGATGAAGCCTGCAGGGGAGGTCGTCTGTATCCTTTGGCAACATTAGTGCTTTCAAAATAACATAAGGTGACACGAGGTATGTGCTCATTTCTGTCATGCACGTGAGTGTGCACGCAAGCCTGAGGAGCTGAGGTCTCGGCTCTCGTCGTAACAGGATGAAGTGTCTGTCATGCTAGCGTAAAGGCGTGCCGTTTGAGCCTGAAGCTCCTCCCCCGTCCATCAGCGTGATGAGATGTCTCCTGAACACAGCGGGCCTGTCAGGGCGCAGGGACGTGGATGTGACAGGCCCTCGAGCAGCGAGTGACCCTCACACACATCTGTGAACAGGACCCTTCCCAAGGGTGTGGAGGGACGGGAGGTTAATGGAAGAGTGTAAGGGGAGCGGGGGTTCACCTGGATGGAATTACCTTTGGTGACGGGGAGTTTCAAACGCTTTTGTTAACTGCAGTGAGAAAGAAGAGCGCTCTTCCCTCTCGCTAACATGCCGTGCTTATTGTGTTCAGTGCTTTGAGGCCATTCAGAAAAAACAGACTTAATGGGTTGAATTTTGTCTCATAATGGATCCTGGCATCATAATCATCTTTAGTAGAACCAGAGATATTGGGGTCAGTCAGGCTGTGTGCACGCTGGGGGCGGCGGCTTAATAAGGAGCCGGCACTCAAAACAGCTCACAGACGGTCTGTGGCCTGTGTGTGGCTGCCCACCGCATCTGAAACACAACACCAGCACACACACACACATACACACACACACACACACACACACATACACACACACACACACACACACACACACACACACACAGTCCTGCAGTCTTTACATGGTGTCAGCCTGCCTGCAGAGAGTTGTTAGGAATGAGGCCACAGGTGCTGTGTGGGACTAATGGCCTGAGCTCCTCTATCACACATCACGACACACAGTTATACAAAGAAAAGTTTAATCACATCAATAGTAACCGCTATGCTGAAACAGCGACACAGTTTTTGTGTTTATACGCTGCTGTCTCCAATCCTTGGTTGGACCTGAGCTGCGGTCGAGTGTGTAAGTTGATTGCCAATGTCAATCAGAAATGTGTGAGCGCAGAGTTCCCTTCATGCGCTGGAAAGCGGAGCTGTCACTGCTTGATCAGCTGTTTCGGGCAGTGTCAGCTGCTTCTATTTTGTCTTTTGCCCTCGTTGGTATCCCCTGGTACCTCCTCTCTCACTCTCAGCACTTTGACAGCTGTTGTTGTCTTGTTGTTGGTCCCACTGGCACCTTATAGGAGTTAGGAGACATAAAGGGAAGGAGGGAGTAGAGAGAGCCGCTCTCCTCCCTTTAAGTAGCACAGTTTCATCTTCTCCACTATTGATTCCCAAAGCCAATAACGGCACTGCATTGGTGCTCAGCAGCCCTCTGCTGCTATGATGAGAATAGAACTACGACCTGATGATGTATGTGTGTGTGCGCGTGTGCGTGTGTGCGTGTGTGTGTGTGTGTGTGTGCGCGTGTGTGTGTGTGTGTGTCTTCATCTCGGGCTGTTTTTATAGGCCATGTCTCAGAGGAGGGCAGCTGCTGGGTGATGATTGGCACCCTGTTCCCGATCTCCTTCCCTTACACTTCCTGTCTTCCTGTGGCTGAACCAATAGCGCTGCTGAGTGACTGCAAATCCAATCAGGATTTCAGGGGGTCTAAACAGCCTCTTTTCATGTAAATGTCTAATGGCCCCTTTGTGTCAAGCACGGCTCACGCTGCGCCCTCAGAGAGAGCGTGGTGAGAAAGCTGCACGCACCTTTTTAAAAGAATAATCCGAGGACTGATTGGGCCTTTATGGCAACGAGATTCCGGCTGATATCCTTTCTTTCCTGCTTCTCTGAAAATGAAGACAAGATTGCTGCACCTTCACATCCAAGCAACATAAACAGATCAATTAAGACACACATGCACACTCCCCACACCGCAGCCTCTGAAGGTCAGAGCTGGGGCTGCTGCATGCTCCTTTCATCTGCTTTCATTTATTTAATGCAGACTATGTGTAATTTATTATATTTGATATTCCATTAATCCCAAACCAACAGCGACATGCTTGAAACAAACGTAAACACTTGTCATTAAATTAGCTGCTCTCACAGTTGCTGCAGGAAAGACAAACTGCAGCGTTGAGCTGCTGGATGTCAGCTCGGTGCCAACAGCTTGTTTCCCTTAATGCTGCAGCCTGGGCACAAGTCTGCAGCATCACAGCAAGCACATCTGGATACTTTTTTTCTATCCTAAAAAATTTCAAGAAGCACCTTCCTGTATTCTCACCATATGTGTTTGCTTCTGATATACGCAGTAATGTGTAAAAGATGATGTTCCACTGCACTCGGGCCAGCCAGCCGGGCCGGTATTTGTAGCTGTGTGATTCTTACCAGCTGCAGCTCGC